TAGATATATTAGGCTTGAAGGTAGAGCACTATAGATTACCAAAATGATAACTGGACTTCAATGTTTCAAATATAAAGATAGTTTACACAAACTAGAGGTGCATCCCTTGGAATTTATACGGCTCAAGTGTGATTTGATTGCAGTCTTCTGGATATTATTGGGAACTGATAAGATACAGACAGAATCTTTTTCCAATGGGTGGAAAATCTAACATTAGAAGGCAAAAATTAAAAATTAAAACTAGGTGTTTCCATCTTCCAGCTTTAGTTTTCAGGAATGATGTTGGGAAATACTTTTACGTGCAAATTATGGGAGTAATTTGGAATCCTCGTGTAAATAGCAATTAATGCTAAATCAACCATTGTTTAAATCTTAGGGTGGGGTTGGTCAACTCAGTTAACTGATGGCTGGTTTCCAAAACAGTGTGATACCAACATTGTGGATTCAATTTCTGCACTGGCTGAGGTTACAATGAAGGACTTTCCTCTCACCGGAGGCATTTTGACCCTCAGATCAAACCATCACCAACTGACTCTCCCTAATGACAGATCAGCCCTATGGTCCCATAGGGCTATAGTGACTTTCCCTTTTAAATCTGAGATTGATAAATGGTTCTTAAACAAATATGTTAACAAATATGAAGCGAAGGCAGATAAGTAGGATTGTAGCTGCACAAGAAAGCCATACCTTTTCTAGAGCAATTATAATGAGCTGTAAATGCTGGCCTAGCATTAGGGCGCGAATCAAATATGAATTCAATGAACGCAAGAACAGTCTTGACAAGTTAAATAGTCTACTCCTGCTCATATGTTGACAGAAGATCTAAAGCACAATGCATTCTTTGTTTTCTTGATAGCTAGCAGTTTCAATGTTATTTGCAGTTGATTGCTTCTGCTTACATCAATACTGCAGATGTAACTCTGGCAATTACTTACCTGGAAAGTGGATTTCACTTCTTCATACATTAGCATGTGATTGGGTCCAAGTGGTATATTGGATTAACACTGAATTCATTATTTACAGCTATTTATTTTGAATTACTTTTCCAGTTGAAAATTAGTAATCCTGTTTCTTAATTTTCACAAAGAACTTAAAAAATGAAATATGTCATTGAAAAAAACTGCCAATACTGAAGATCTGAAGCAAAAGGAGAGGTTGGATAGGTTGGGACATTTTCCCCTGGAGCGTAGGAGACGGAGGGGTGACCTTATACGGGTCTATAAAATCATGAGAGGTATAGGCAAGGTAGATAGCCAACAGGTTTTCCCCTTGGTAAGGGAGATTAAAAGTAGAGGGCAGAGGTTTAGGGTGAAAGGGGAGAGAAACAGAAGGGTCCAGAGGGGCATTTCTTTTCCATACAGAGGGTCGTGAGTGTTTGGAATGGACTGCAGAGATAACGATGGAAGCGAGTGGAATTTCGTCATTTAAGAAATATTTAGAGAGGTACATAGATGGGAAAGGTATGGAGGAATATGGACCAAATGCAGGCAAGTGGGACTAGTTCAACTGGGAAAACTGGGTGGCATAGGCAAGTTGGGCCAAAGGGCCTGTTTCCATGCTGTAGACCTCTAGGACTCTTAACTATATTTATAGGATTCAAGACCATTCAGATTTAACATCCATCTACCAGGGGATGACCTGTGGCACATATCGCTCACTTCACTTCAGCATTGTTTGCAATTAATATAGTTCCTTGACTAACATCCCATGAATAAATAAAAAGGAACTCCAACATAAATGCTGTCAATTCAATGCCTTGACGTTGAAACTTACCAACTCATCTTCTGCATTCTGCACAGACACACTCTTGATACAGATCCCAAATGCAAATGGATGGTCAGGTTCAGTGCTGTTATCTTCAAAACGCAAGTGAACATTTCGAACCTTCAGCTACAAGAGAAATAAATAACTTGGGCTCTTTTATTTTGCTTTTCAGGTCTAAAATCTTACTACAGATCCTCCTAGAATTATGCCTGCACAACAGTTTCAATATACCAAAAATCATTCATTACCTGTAAAGCACTTAGCTTGTTCCAAGAAGGTGAACCACGCTACATAAAACTAAGTTTTTACTTACAAAGCAGTAAAAGTCAATTCCCGAAAGGGCAGTAATCACCTGTCATTGAATGGCACTCAAAAATACATTACCTATTTATTACATTACCCTGCACAGTGTACATTTTTGCACGATGATTACAAAATAAATTTGAAGTCTACATGAATAAAACACATAAGAATCTGGGTATTTTAAAAGTGATTCCACTAAATGGAACCAGATACTTGGCTCATAAATGCAATGACAAGCATTAATTAGCTCAGTACACCTAACGTCCTTGACTTTAACTAAGCCTTCAGTAGCAACTTTACTTCTGATATTTAGAAGGTTCCCATCTTTCACTATTATTTTCCTTCTCATATCTGAAAAGGTATCATTTCTAACGTACAATTCTTGCAGGCATTAGCCACTTCCAGTAACACAGTAGCTGTCCTTTGAGTTAACTTAAACAGGGGGTGTCAAATATAGTAAAAATAGCAGCTTTATCATTTGAACTACTTCCAATATTCTGTTTGTGTCCTCTGGAGAGAGTCACTTGCAAGCCCAAACTTCCAAAGAAGTGAAAGCAGATTTTATAAACAAAACATCTGGGGCAGTAAGTGACAGGTGAACAATGAATTGCTGTAATTGAAGTAAACTTTTTAAACAGTAAGAAACTACCCCATACAAAAAGGCTATATAATTTAAGTTAGAAGCGATTACTTATTCTCACAGATAAATTATACAGAAAGCAAAACTAAATCAGAAGATTCCATATAATTAACTTCCATAGTTTTATGAATACACACATAGTTCCACAAATAGTTTAACAATCTTTAGGTATAATCATAATCAATAATTATAAAAAAATGTGTCAGATATGGATTTGGGACACCACATTTCAGTACATTGTTGATAGTCAGCAAACTGATGAAATTTTGATCTATAGAACTGGGAAATTGCTACAGTATACATCAGGATTTACTCTCAGTCAAAAAGATTCCTCTAAAAAGTGTGGTAGCAAGTATATTTTTAAAACTCAGTAAACAAAGGTCTTTCTGGCAGGCAGCCATTATAGTTAATAGCTTTGATACTTCTTGCATTGAAGAAATTTTCCAATGACAGATAACTTTTCAAATAGTCAAACATAGACATGACACCTCCTGAAACTGGAATTAAACTCAGAAGAAGATTTCTTCACTCATCCCCATTGAAATACAAAGGATTATCTTCAAAGTGCTGATGGGGAAAGCCCAGGTTAAATTTACTCAAAATTTACTTGGCCTGACTATAACTCTAGAAGTGGATAAAAAAAGCATGATTTATTTTGAACTTATCCTGATCAGTATCATGGGCAGCACAGCTAAGCTCAATCTTCTTCTCACTCAAAACCACACACAGAGATATAGCTAAATAGCTTTAAGTGTGAAAATAGATAAGTCCCCTGGGCCGGATGGGATTTATCCTAGGATTCTCTGGGAAGCTAGGGAGGAGATTGCAGAGCCTTTGGCTTTCATCTTTATGTCGTCATTGTCTACAGGAATAGTGCCAGAAGACTGGAGGATGGCAAATGTTGTCCCCTTGTTCAAGAAGGGGAGTAGAGACAACCCTGGTAATTATAGACCAGTGAGCCTTACTTCGGTTGTGGGTAAAGTGTTGGAAAGGATTATAAGAGATAGGATTTATAATCATCTAGAAAGGAATAATTTGATTGAGGATAGTCAATGCGGTTTTGTGAAGGGTAGGTCGTGCCTCACAAACCTTATTGAGTTCTTTGAGAAGGTGACCAAACAGATGGATGAAGGTAAAGCGGTTGATGTGGTGTATATGGATTTCAGTAAAGCGTTTGATAAGTTTCCCCACGGTAGGCTATTGCAGAAAATATGGAGGCATGGGATTGAGGGTGATTTAGCGGTTTGGATCAGAAATTGGCGAGCTGTAAGAAGACAGAGGGTGGTGGTTGATGGGAAATGTTCATCCTGGAGTTCAGTTACTAGTGGTGTACCGCAAGGATCTGTTTTGGGGCCGCTGCTGTTTGCCATTTTTATAAATGGCCTGGATGAGGGCGTAGAAGGATGGGTTAGTAAATTTGCGGATTACACTAAAGTCAATGGAGTCGTGGATAGTGCAGAAGGATGTTGCAGGTAACAGAGGGACATAGATAAGCTGCAGAACTGGGCTGAGAGGTGGCAAATGGAGTTTAATGCGGAAAACTGTGAGGTGATTCACTTTGGAAGGAGTAACAGGAATACAGAGTACTGGGCTATTGGTAAGATTCTTGGTAGTGCGGATGAGCAGAGAGATCTCCGTGTCCATGTGCATAGATCCCTGAAAGTTGCCACCCAGGTTGATAGGGTTGTTAAGAAGGCGTACGGTGTGTTAGGTTTTATTGGTAGAGGGATTGAGTTTCGGAGCCATGAGGTCATGTTGCAGCTGTACAAAACCCTGGTGCGGCCGCAGTTGGAGTATTGCGTACAGTTCTGGTCGCCGCATTATAGAAAGGATGTGGAAGCATTGGAAAGGGTGCAGAGGAAATTTACCAGGATGTTGCCTGGTACGGAGGGAAGGTCTTATGAGGTAAGGCTGAGGGTCTTGAGGCTGTTTTCGTTAGAGAGAAGAAGGTTAAGAGGTGACTTGATAGAGACATACAAGATGATCAGAGGATTAGATAGGGTGGACAGTGAGAGCCTTTTTCCTCGGATGGTGATGGCTAGCACGAGGGGACATAGCTTTAAATTGAAGGGTGATAGATATAGGACAGATGTCAGAGGTAGATTCTTTACTCAGAGAGTAGTAAGGGCGTGGAATGCCCTGCCTGCAAAAGTAGCAGACTCGCCAACTTTAAGGGCATTTAAATGGTCATTGGATAAACATATGGATGATAATGGAATAGTTTAGGTTAGATGGGCTTCAGACTGGTTTCACAGGTCGGCGCAACATCGAGGGCCGAAGGGCCTGTACTGCGCTGTAATGTTCTATGTTCTAATCATACAAGAAACTGGGTAGTGATTAGGAGTGGAAACAAGAGTTAGCTGAGGCCAATTACACTGGCTTACTTTCAATTTAATCAAGATGAAAAATATCTCCACACAGGCAGCGATCGACCCAGGTTACGCCTCCTGCCACTCTAAACTATCAGAAGAAATCTAAATTCAATAGACATGGTTGACTCATACATATTGATCAGAAACAGCAAAGTACGGTACTGCCCCTGCATAACATCCTTCACATCAATGGACAGACACAATATCTCAGAATTAAGTGAGATTTTTAAAAGTCACCCACTGCAGAAGCAGTGCTCTGAAAACAAGTTTTAACTTGGTTATGTCCTTATTTAAAGCAAGCAGATTTTTAATGACCATTTTTCTAACTCACCTCCACATTTTCCACAATCCTGGTTACCATGGAAGCAGTAGCCGAGTACCAGTAAGATTCTCCTTTCTGCTGCTGGTTACTCTGAAATAAAATTCAATCTATATTCAAAATAACTATTGAGTGCACCATAAACAGACAAAACAAATCTTTTTAGTACCCACAGGATGAGTGAGAATGAAGTATACTTACCACAGCACAAGAGTCAACATTAATTGAAGTTTCATTTCAGGTTGCTATTGGGTCTATACAAGAGTCAGCTTCATATTGGAGATGTTTACTTGAAACCCATTTCCGTATTCTTTTCCTATATATTTTAATAGTTATCCTAAAGTGTTTATCTAATTCTCTTTTAAATTTTCAGTTTCTAAAACTCTTGGTAATAATGCATAACTTCAAAAAAACATCTGACCACTCCCAAAACATTTGCAATAATAATTGCTTTTTTATGCTTCCCTACTTTCCAATCATTGTCATACAGCATGGCTACAGACCATTCGGTCCAACTAGTCCACGTCAACCATGTTCCCACTAAACGAGTCCCACTTGCTTGCGTTTGGTCCATATTCCTCCAAACATTTCCTATTCATGTACTTACCCAAATATCTTTTAAATGTTGTAACTGTACCTGCCACTATACCACTTCCTCTGGCAGTTCATTCCACACACAAACCACTCCCTAAAGACACTGCCCCTCATGTCCCCCTTAAAACTTTTGCCTCTCACCTTAAAAATACACCCACTACTTCTTGGCATTTGCAGTCAATTCTCTATGCCTTTCTGCACAAGGGGAGTGCATTCTTAATGGCTTATTTATACTCTGAAAATAACACAACATGCCTTTCTACTACATAGGTACATGCTCACACACAGATGGCAATGGTTTATAAAGTACAGCTTTCATATTTATGTGACGGCATTTCAGTTAACTAAGTACAGTTAACTAGATATTATCAGGTATGGAAAGTTTGAATTACAAAGAAAGTCCAGATAGGCTGGGATCTTTTTTTTACTGCAGCATAGGAGGCTGAACGGCTACCTTATAGGTTTATAAAATAATGAGGGGTAGAGATAGAGTTAATGGTAGTTGTCTTTTCCCGAGGAGAGGGATTTCAAGACTGGGGGGCACATTGTTAAGGTGAGACATGAGGGGCAAATGCTTTACACTAAGGGTGGTTCGCATGTGGAATTAGTAGTGGAAATGGGTACAATTACAACGTTTAAAAGAAATTTGGAGAAGTACATGGTAGGAAAGATTTGGAGGGATATGGGTCAGGAGTAGGCAGGTGGGACAAGGTTAGTTTGAGATTATTTCAGAGATAGTAGGAACTGCAGATGCTGGAGAATCTGAGATAACAAGGTGTAGAGCTGGATGAACACAGCAGGCCAAGCAGCATCAGAGGTGCAGGAAAGCTGACGTTTCGGGCCTAGACCCTTCTTCAGAAATGGGGGAGGGGAAGGGGATTCTGAAATAAATAGGGAGAGAGGGGGAGGCGGATAGAAGACGGATAAAGGAGAAGATAGGTAGAGAGGACACAGACAGGTCAAAGAAGCGGGGATGGAGCCAGTAAAGGTGAGTGTAGGTGGGGAGTTAGGGAGGGGATAGGTCAGTCCAGGGAGGACGGACAGGTCAAGGGGGCGGGATGAGGCTAGTAGGTAGGAGGTGGGGGGGGGGCTTGCGGGGGGAGGAGGGGAAAGGTGGGAGGAAGGACAGGTTAGGGAGGTGGGGACGAGCTGGGCTGGTTTTGGGATGCGGTTGGGGAAGAGGCGATTTTGAAGCTTGTTAAGTCCACATTGATACCATTGGGCTGCAGGGTTCCCAAGCGAAATATGAGATGCTGTTCCTGCAACCTTCGGGTGGCATCTTTGTGGCACTGCAGGAGGCCCAGGGTGGACATGTCATCTGAGGAATGGGAGGGGGAGTTGAAATGGTTCGCGACTGGGAGGTGCAGTTGTTTAGTGCAAACCGAGCACAGGTGTTCCGCAAAGCGGTCCCCAAGCCTCCGCTTGGTTTCCCCGACGTAGAGGAGGCCACAACGGGAACAGCGGATACAGTATACCACATTAACAGATGTGCAGGTGAACATCTGCTTGATGTGGAAGGTCTTCTTGGGGCCTGGGATGGGGGGTGAGGGGGGAGGTGTAGGGGCAGGTGTAGCACTTCCTGCGGTTGCAGGGAAAAGTGTCGGGTGTGGTGGGGCTGGCGGGGAATGTGGAGCAGACAAGGGAGTCACGGAGAGAGTGGTCCCTCCGGAAAGCAGATAAGGGTGGGGAGGGAAAAACCCCCAACCGCATCCCAAAACCAGCCCAGCCTGTCCCCGCCTCCCTAACCTGTCCTTCCTCCCACCTATCCCCTCCTCCCACCTCAAGCCCCACCCCCATCTCCTGCCTACTAGCCTCATTCCACCCCCTTGACCTGTCCATCCTCCCTGGACTGACCTATCCCCTCCCTAACTCCCCACCTACACTCACCTTTACTGGCTCCATCCCTGCCTCTTTGACCTGTCTGTCTCCTCTCTACCTATCTTCTCCTTTATCCATCTTCTATCCGCTTCCCCCTCTCTCCATATTTATTTCAAAACCCCCTTCCTCTCCCCCATTTCTGAAGAAGGGTCTAGGCCCAAAGCATCAGCTTTCCTGCACCTCTGATGCTGCTTGGCCTGCTGTGTTCATCCAGCTCTACACCTTGTTATCTTAATTTGAGATTATGTTCGGCATGGACTGTTTAGACTGAAGGGTCCGTTTCCATGCAGTATGGTGAGGACTCTCAGATCTTGAATGTCATGCCTCCATCTCAGAACCTAGGGAGGCAAGCTTTAAAAATGGATGCGATTCCAGGATTCTTGCCCTCGTTCCCATCATTGGCTATTTCAACTGCACAGGATAAGATCATGAGCAGCAAGCTCATACATAGCACAGCTAATCTTGCCAAATCCAATTCAAGGGGTTGAAGAGAGCACCCACCATACACACTTGGAATTTATACTGTCTGGTCTCTTATGGTGAGTAGTGTCATTTTGGTTTTGATCCGTATGGGTTTGTATATGGGGTCCAATTCTATATGTCTGTTGATTGCATTACAGGTGGAGAACCATGTCTCTTGGAATTCCCGTGCGTGTCTATGTTTGGCTTGGGCTACTATGGTTACCTTGTCCCAGTAAAACTGATGGCCTTCATTGTCTGAATGTACCAATATTAAGGATCCCATATACAAACCCATACAGATCAAAACAGGAAATGACACTACTCAACATAACGGACCAAACAGTATAAATTCCAAGTGGAGTAGAAGAAAACCGCTTTACCTAGCACGGTGACAAAAGTCTGAACGAGAACAAGCCAGCACGGTGAGCAAGTCAACAACCTCACCCACAACCCGAAATACCGATCTTTGCCAAAACTTTGAATATGCTTCCTTCTTCTTGACTGGGACCTCAATATCTCTAGTCATCCAGTATTCTTCAGTCCTGCCAGCCTTGTTATTCACACTAATGGGAACATACCGGCTTCACTAATCAACAAAAATGATGTTTAAAAGATTTACTCTCTCAAAACCTTTTAATCTTGACTTGACCAATCCTTTAATATAATGCTTTCAATGAAGTTAGAGCTAGCTTATTAAATTTTCATCATAATGTATCCTTTATAACAAACAATGACACAGAATGTTAAAACCAATATATGCAATTTATGTATTCTATTCGTTTAAATTACATGATTCCACTATGAATTCAATTAAGTATGATTTACATCAATACAAGGATTCTATGATGATGAAGATTTTGGATAAGTAATTATGGCTTCCTCTTGCTTTGTAATTTGGACACAAAGGCTTTGAAGTTCCAGTGTATGAAGATTATGGTATGGACACAATTTAATTGTAAATGCTTAGCAGAAGCATTAACCCTTCTGGAGTGTTTAAGGTGGTAGACAGCATGCCAATCAAGTGGATTGCTTTATCCAGAATGGAATTGAACTTTTTTGGTGTTGTTGGAGCTACACTTGTCCAGTAGAGAGCATTACACCGCTCTCGCGACTTGTGTCTTGTAGATGGTGGACAGACTTTGGGGAATCAGTAAGCTAAGTCACTCAAATTCTCAGCCATCCCAAAACGTATCTCAGTCAAGAACCAAGCTTTCTTAGAAATGCGCAAATACACATTAGGACACAAAGTTAACAGCGCTGGGCTAACTGGATGAGCACTGGAAGGAAGACATCAAAGACTCTCCTTCTTGGTTTTAGGCATCAGGTCTCATACATGAAAATAAAATGGGGAATTTACCAGGATACTCAATAATGTTTATATCCCCAAAAGGATTTGTAAAGCAAAAATTAAAGCTAATAAAAAGAATTGGAATCAATAAGTTAATATCAAATTGCACACCAAAGCCACATCCAGCAGTCAAAGGTGTGATGCATTAAACCTTAATTTAGGCTTCATTTGAAAACTCATCAGCCTTGGAGTGCACCTGCATAGAAAATGAACTCCTTATATTGCAACTGAAGTCAAGCGACTTTAAATTACATTTATCTGGCACCAACCTTCCAGTTAGCCTCCAGAGCATCCAGCAATGCACTCTTTCTTTTTCTGTCCAGTGAACGTTCCGTTTCTTCATCAAACTCAGACTGCTTAACTGGCGCACCAATCAGATGGAGTCTAGAAATGGATATTACCCATGGTTCCACATGAGGCCGGTAGAATGGGATCTGCAATGTTATCTTCCCAATAAAACCTGAAAAGTTGCATACATTTTTTATATGGGAAACTTTTTTCAATTCATTCTCAATACACTGTGGTTTTTTGCAAAACTAGTATATATCTTAATCTATAAAATCCAAAGCTGGATGTGGGTAAACCGGTGTCCTTAGAAAAAAGCTTCAGTGAGCGTTCATCTCTAGCTTTTTAATAGGGTAGCAGGAAAGCACTCAGTAGAATTCTCATCAATTTTAACCTTACTACCAATATTAACTTTTTCACATCTAAACTAGGAGATGCCATAAAGACAAAGCTCAAACTACATCTATAATATAGATATTCATTGACAATCCCAGCAAGTGTAAGTTCTATACTGACAAAGATATTGACTTAGAAGAAGGTCAGCAACTTTGTTTACCTGCTTTCACCTCAAAAGGTAAATCCAATTCTTTGAGGGCATCTTTCTTCAGAGGGAGGTTTTCTAATTCAACAGCTCCTGCATGGAAGTAAAAATATGGTATCATTTTTAATGCCACTTTGATTGTGCTTGTTAAGAGGGGTGTGTGAATTTTGCCTCATTGTCTGTAGCAAGCACCTCCAAGCTGAATATATATTGATTGCTGCTTAGTAAAGCTCTGTTTTCTTTGCCCTAAAACTATTCCTCAAATTTCAAACTGAGAAAAGCAGACCCACTACATTAGTAAAATATTTCTGTTACTCACAATGTAAACTTAGGTCATGGGTTGATTAGAAAAAAAATTTACAACCTTTAGGTCTCATTTGGATATTCAAGTTCAGAGTCACAAGTAATTTCCCTTCAGAGATTCCACAATGTCTATGACCCAAATTTTTATTCCTGATACCTAGTTAAACAATTGAAAGGTTTGGTCATAGAGTGTACAACATGGAAACAGACCCTTTGGTCCAACTCGTCCATGACGACCAGATATCCTAGATAAATCATTTGCCAGCATTTGGCCCCTATCCCTCTAAACCCTTCCTATTCGCATACCCCTCCAGATCCATTTTAACTGTTGTAATTGTAGCACCCTCCACCACTTTCTCTGGCAGCTCATTCCATACATGTACCACCCTCTGCCTGGGGTAGTTGCCCCTTAGATCCCTTTTAAATCTTTCCCCTCTCACCTTAAACCTATGACCTTTAGTTTTGGACCCCCCCCACCCTGGGAAAACAACCTTTTTTATTTACCTTATCCATGCCCCTCGTGATTTTATAAAACTCTATAAAGACCACCCCTCAGTCTCCAATGCTCCAGAGAAAATAGTCCCAGCCTATTCAGCCTCTCCCTATAGCTTAAACTCTCCAACCCCGGCAACATCCTTGTAAATATTTTCTGAACCCTCTCAAGTTTCACAACATCCTTCCTACAGCAGGGAGACCAGAATTGCATACAGTACTCCAAAAGTGGCCTAACTGATGTCCTGCACAGCCGCAACATGACCTCCCAACTCCTACACTCAATGCACTGACCGATAAAGACAAGCATACCATCTACCTGCCACTCGACTTTCAAGGAACTATGAACCTACACTCCAAAGTCTCTTTGTTCAGCAACACTCCCCAGTAAGTGTATAAGTCCTGCCCTGATTTGCCTTTCCAAAATGCAGCACCTCACATTTACCTAAATTAAACTCCAGCTGATCAAGATCCTGGAGTACTCGGAGGTACTCTTCTTCGCTGTCTACTACACCTTCAATTTTGAGGTCATCTGCAAACTTACTAACCATACCTCCTATGTTCACATCCAAATCATTTATATAAATGACAACAAGTAGGTGATCACAACAATCAGATCCTTTATTGTGGGTACTAGATATTGTGACCTTGAACATGCTGCTAGATGCACTTTGGTATGAGGGGCTAACTGCACCAGAATACCAGTTTAGTCTCATGGCTTCCTAAATCTTGCTGGAATGCAAAGACTTGGGAGCAGGATTCATAGAGGTCCAGAACATGGAAAAAGGCCCTTGGGCCCATGGAGTCTGCAGCAATCAAAAACAAGGACCTAAAGTAGTTGTTTGATCCTGCTTTGCCATCAAATAGATTAAGGCTGATCTGACTGTGGCCTTAACACCACTTTCCTGTCTTCCTACATAATCTTAACTCCTTCATCTATTAAGAATGTAAGTAATTTAGCCTTGAATAAATTCAACAACGAGGCTTTCACAGCTTTCTAGGGAAGAGAACGTCACACTCTATTGGCCATCTGAGAGAAAATAAAACTTCTCATCTCTGTTCAAATGGAAAACCCCTTATTTTAAGCTGAGCTCCCCTGGTTCTCGTCTCCGTCACAAGAGGAAACATCCTGCCAGCATTCACTCTCAGGATCTCATGTTTTGATAAGATCATCTCTAATTCTTCTAAACTCCAATAGGTATAGCCTCAACTGGTCAATCTTTCTTCATAAGATAAGCACGTCATTTCAGGAATGAGTCCTCTATTGCAATGACATGATTTTTCAAACTAAGAGACCAAAACTGCACACACAACTCCAAATTCGGTATCACCTAAGGTTTGTATAGCTGCAGCAAAGTTTCCATTCTTTGGAATTCCATTCCCCTTACATCATTTTCTGTTGCTTCTTGTAATATTAAAATAACATCTATCATAACTGAGCAAGATGGAGAGAGAGAGAGAGACAGAGAGAGAAGGAAATGAGGGGATAAATGCTACTGAACAAGCAATTAAACAGGCAACCACTTGTAGCATGATGCACAGATATTTACTTAATATAATGCATCAATGCAGATTATTCTCCTGTGAAATTCTGATCTCTTGCACAATCCTAATTTTCATCGCTCAACATTGGTAGCCATGCCTTCTGCTGCCTGGAACATAAATAATGAGTGAAAAGAGGCAGAAAAATGTAGGTTGGGGAATTACAGAATTTAAGACACACCTTAAAGTCTCTCAGTTTGATTAAGCTATTAATGTTAATACTTTTTCACGTGACTTGGGTTACATTTTATCTAATAATGTTCCTCGGAATGTTCTGTAATGTTAATGACGCTGTATCAATATAGAAATTTTCTCACTCTTCAGCAAGTTCCCCATTTAATTAATATTAATAGGGGCCAAGGGCTGTTTTTTTCCTCTCAAATAACCTACTTAAATTAGTGGTTGGATTGAAGTTATACTGAAATCAATATGCCAAAGTAGAAGTGGGTTTTAACCACTGGGCTTGTAGTCCAGTACCATATCACCACATTCCCACATTTGCATTTGGTTTAGAAATACAACCTGAGGGCATTGTTTTGGAAAAAGGATCTCCAATTTAAGGAGGACTTCATTATCTCAAAGACAGCTGAGCTTTTTGAATTCTCTACCTCGAGAACAGTAGATACTAAGTCATTTTTTCAAAACTCATTCACGGGATAAGGGCGTTACTGGCAAGGCCAGCATTTATTGCCCATCCCTAATTGCCCAGAGGGCAGTTAAGAGCCAACTACATTGCTGTGGGCCTGGAATCACACGTAGGCCAGACCAGGTAAGGATGGCAGTTTCCTTCCCTAAAGGACATTAGTGAATCAGATGGGTTTTTCTGATGATCAGCAATGGATTCATAGTCTTCAATAGACTCTTAATTCCAGATTTTTTAAATGAATTCACAATCCAGCATCTGCCGTGGCAGGATTCGAACCCAGATCCCCAGAACATTACCTAGGTCTCTGGATTAAAAGTCCAGCAATAATACCATTGAGCAGGGTGTTACAGATGGCAGAGTTTCCCATACTTCCACCTAAACAAAATGGTGGGGAATTCAGCCTTCTTGGTCATAGGAGCTCCACAACAACATAACACTGAAGAGCATTAGTTGGCTTCATGAAGGTTTTCCACCCACTATACGGAGGGAGGTATTATTGGTTGGCATCTCTGTAGTCTCAGCAGCACCACCTTGGAACAATACCCACTACTGGGACTACAAACAGTTCTACTTAATTGATAGTAAGTGCTGGGCACCCAGACAAGGTAGTTGAGGGATGTTATATTAGAGAGGGGAGAGGAAGGGATGCCTATGGATGGTGGGTAAGACACACCAGGGTCATGATGACTACCAGGCGGCGAAGGAGCACCTAGCGGGCAGGAAGACCTTTTGCTTGGGCGGTGCGTGTGCATGTGCGCGCATGTGCGTGCATGCTGATCTGAAAAAGTGGACCAGTTAGGGAGTGAATTCTCTCCCATCATTTTCCCACCTGAGATTTAAGCACGATTAGCTGAGAGGTTCCTCCTGTCCCTGGACTCCTCCGGTTAGCCAAAGATTTGCAACTTGGCAAAGTTTGAACATAATTGGTTCTCAAGATTCTCAATTGTGAATAGGGTGGATAGTAGAGCTACTCTGGGTCTCTCCCATCCCCAGTAAAATTACAGACAGTTTGTGGATAGAAAGGCCACCCGAGAAATGTTATGCCTGCTAAGGCTTCAGAGCTGGAACCTTTACATTCTGCCCATTCAATAATATTCATTGCTATTATAGATAGAGGCTGTCAAAGGTAATGGAGGAACAGGCAGGAAAATGGAGTATGATGGAAAGATTAGACCAGCAACAATCTTACTGAATGGCACAGCAGGTGAGAGCTTTATGATTTATTCCTGCTCCTAAGCCTTATGTTCTTACAGTCATGAAACATAATACTAGCTAGCTCAGGTTTTTAAGCTGCCAATAAGTAACAACTGTATGCAGCATAGAAACTGGACTTGGGACCATTTTATACCACCTCTACATCAGCAGGCAATGAGGATGCACACAGCAACTTAAGTTAAAAGGAAACAAATGTGAGCTCGGTGCTGTCCATGAACATAAACAGGACAGCTCCAAGAACCTGTCAACACACCCTTGAATTCTGAATACAATATCACGTCTCTGCACAAATGATATTTTCATTAATTCAATGAGAAATCTGCATCTTTGCAGATGTAATAGGAAATAGGAAATTAGAAATTCTAGAATTGGGTGGAAAATAGATATAAATACCACAATTTAGCACAACACAGTGAGGGAAATAAACCTTCAGTTCCCCTTAGTCCTCTGACAGGCCTGATCTATTTCACATTTTATTCATTCACTTATTCCAGATACAGGGAACAAGAAAACAGATACAAATGCAAATGTATAATAACATGGTAGAGAACCACAAAGTGGTTAGCTCAAAGTTAAATATAAAAGGCTTATTTAACAAAAACCACAACTGAAAAGATACATACACAACATATTTGTGTGTCAATGTTCTATGTCATATTCTGCATCCATCGTACAAATATCCTTTCAGGGCAACATTAACAGAGTTTATCCCTAAGCCTGAAGTGTAATGTTTCAAGGTTCAAAATACCCTCTTCACACACAACAGTTCAATGCTTAAAATGCGCTTTCAACCTCAATGTCTACATCACAAAGACATTTGATTTTCAATTCCACTATGTTGTTCACCTCCACACCTTCTTTCCATGAACTTCAACTCATTCAAATGTCTGCTTCC